CAGGATTCTATCGGCGGAAACTGACGATGATGTTAACCACTGAACGTATTTTATTCGAGTCAGAGGCGTCGGTACTTAAAAAATGCATTCACAGTCTTGACTGCTGCCTCCTGTTTGGGGTGAACTCTACGCAGGTTGAGTCAGGGACTTATTATGCCAACACTAAGCTTAACATGAACAATTGAACAAGTTACCTTTCCAAGAGCTTCTGGTGAACTTGGCGATGATTTGCTTTTTCCGCTCCTCGGCCTGATAAGACCACGTGCGTCCCTGACTGTCTGCTTTGCGTTGGTTAGGACTGGAGCCCGATTACGTTCAGTGCAGACGTCAAAATCTTCATCAACCTCCAGTATCTGCATTCGGTCCTCTGGGGTCTTTCCTGGCGTGTCCAGACTCTTGACTGTCGAGTTATCCCCTTTGCTCCCTGCTTGAGAGGACGGTTCTATGTTTGTAAACATTTCATGCGACATTTTAACTTCCTGCTGTGACTCGGGACTCGGCCGCATAGGACGGAAAGGTGGGGAGGTTTTTTTGCTGGGAGAACTGATGGAAGATCTCCTTTTTAGTTTGACTGCGCGCGAAGGAGTTGGATGGCCTTTTGCATCTTTACGGCCTCCCGTCTGACTCGCCTATATCGTTTTTTGTTTCCGTTCATTCAAGTGGAGAAATATGAAGACAAAGGGCACTTGGGTAAACGTTCGTAAACACTGCATAATCATCCAGCTCATAATATCAATCAAGAATAATCCCACAGAACCAGAAAAACTCAAATATTGACTTCATAATTTTAAAGTCCACTGGCTCCTGGCCAAAGCACACACTTTAGATCCCAAGGACGCCCTTCTACACCGAATCAGCACGTACGTCTTTCCTGTTTATAAGTTTTGTTGTAAATAAAATGTTTTTTTTTCTTGTCAGAGATTTCAGCAATCGGGCTTCCGAGAGTTTTTTAAGCCACTGACTGAATACCTAACGAAGGAGATCTTTTTAATTCCTTTACAACCTGTAGAAAGCGCATTTAAGGTTTTTCATAAAGACCGCATTAGATAGTACTTTAAGCAGATAATTGGGGAGTTAGGATGTTTACTAATACTCTGAAATACAATATTTACCATTAGCTAAGAAACCCAGTTTTCAACACTTTTAGTGGACAATTAGATGTCAAATGTCATAATAAAAGTGTTAAGTGTGCAGCAGGAAAAAACATACTACTGTAAGAAGGTTACATATGCATATGTAGCTTTGAGATTTCAGTTAGCCATATTTGAACAGTACTTATGAAGAAACAGTTTATAAAATAAGTAAGCACAGTTTTGTAAAAAGGACTTTCAAAATATGTGATAAATACATAGATCACTAGTTTGCTTCGGGCAATAAAGTAACCAAGAACGGTTAAGTGGGACTTCTACAACTGTTTATCTACATTGCCAATGGGTTGCTTTTCTATTTAACGGTCACCTTGGATTAATTTGGCTTGAATGCAAAATTATTTATCTTCTTACTGAACCAAATTACTCCGGCAATTCGATTAATGCCTAAATAAATAGCCTTGCCTATGTATTGTCTTTCACCCTACTAGTAATTTTTGTGGCTAGTAAGATGAAGTTTTTGGTAACAACGACAAACAAAACTCTTGAACGAGCAAACGACAGGAACCCAAACTCACGATAATTGTATAGTCATTTTGAACTGCGCCCGATTCTGGATGTTCGGAATTAGTCTTCTGAGGCTTTTCTATAGAGCACAAGCTCAAGTTATTTATTGCAAGGCCCGAATCACTATTTGTGGCCCCACCAGTAACACCAATCTTCTCACATATTTCAGTCAATTCCAGAGAGTCATCACTGAGTTTTGGGCTTTCCTCTTTGTATGCTGAAGTAGTCCCCAGTGTAACCTTTATTGAACGTGGTGACCCAAGGTCCTCCTCATCGAGCTCCTCAATGGTGTCCATTATGGGATGCAAAGCACGGTGTGGCCGCATAGCTGCGTTCCGGAGAAGGAGGAAACGCTGCTTTTTTCTTCGACTTCGGAGATTCTGCCTGACAAGGGCTTTGCTGCATCGGTTGTGCTTTTTAACAGGGGATCCGAATGAGGAACCGGTTTCAAATGGTGAATGCGAATTCCCCTAGAAGGTTTTCAGGATGCTTCAAGAGGGGCTCCCGTAAAAGCTTTGTAATACATCTCTTAATAGGCCTGGTAGTAAAATGACATTGGAAGCTAAGAATGTTGCAGGATACTTAAAATCATCAGGTAGACTATGACAAAAATTGTCTGAATTCACACGTCAGGTGGTCAGGATGAATTAATCCTCCCCTGTTAGGAAACGCTTATTGGACCAGTTATCTGCCAGGCGATATATTTTACGCGAAGCCGTCTGGGAAGTAAAAAATCGTTACAACTGCGCGTGGGAAAGCGTTATTAAACAAAATGGAAAGTTTAGGAAGACCAGTCATGAAGAATAGGCAAATGTAGCCTTAATGTGCCAGCTGAGCCTGACGATACATTTTGAAGGGTAAGCATCAACATCAAAATGGAGTACAAAGTTCCTTTTTTGCTTGTGCATTTCTCCTTTTCAGTCAGCCTCAGACGATGTGGACAAAGTTGTACACGAGGGCGGTGACGCAGGATTATAATTTGGGGATTCGGCAATAGAAAACAGGAAAAGCCCTGTAGGATCTACCAACAGTATTGTACGTATTGGTGTAGAGAATGTAGAGATGTCAGCGCCTTTTCACGATATGTTGGATTTGACCCTAGCTACCCTCTCGCCGGAATATTAATGCAGGCTACCTATTATAAACGTTTGGTGGTATCTATGACCCAGGCTTTCCTGATTCCGTTAACTGAATCATTTTCACGTAGGAGTGGGAAATTTATATATTAGATTTAACATTCGCTCCCGGTTTCTGCCACCCAAACAGCGATTCGACTTTTATTGAAAATATCTTTTGGCAATCAACTGTTTCCGGTCCCTCATCGCCAGGCCAGTACACTGACATGGGGAATGAAACAGACAGGTACAAAGTTTATATGGTTATCATGATAGGGAGGGGGGGGAGATTCGTTCCCTCGTCTCGTGCATGTCTGAGTCAGCGTGTTGAGGACGTTGATTTGCGGCACGCGGGGAAGGGGGGGGAAGTTCTCACTGTCGGCGGTTTAGGGTCTGTATCCCAGATGCGCGGCTTGCGTCTGACTTTCGCCTGGCTTCGAGCAGCGTGCGAATCCCGCCTGTATTTGGCCCAGGGCGGCAAACTGCCTGTACAGCGCCTTTTGCAAAAGAGAGCGGTCTTTCCTAAGCGGATTTCCACTGCCTCGGCTGTGGCTAGCACCCGTTAGCGTAAGACTGCAGCCTGGTCCTGATATACGATCCGAAAGGCCTCTCGCATCGACCTGGTGATTCGTATTGATTATATCTGCGAGGATCGAACTTGAAATCGATCGATGTTCCCCTTTGTCTAGCCAGGCTGATATGTATTCGCGTACCCCCTTCTCCAGACGTCCCGTTGTTCGGCCAATGTATCTCGCTCCACAGGAGCAGGCAAAGGAATAAATACACATGGACCTGGCATGTAACAGTAGTCAGTCATCACCTCTCCCATATCCGTAGAAGGAGACAGTGTGCGAAGAATACGCGTAAGTTCGCCGCCGGAAAAAAGCACACGTGACGGATATCCTTAGACGTTGTCTTACTAGTAAGTTTGCTACGTCTCATATAAAAGGCAGGCTCATGAACAGGCCTTTCTCTTATGCCGTTGCAACGGCAAGCTTTGTGACACAACCCTCGAGGTACAAGAAGATGCACCTTTGTGGATAAACATTTTCGCAAAGTTTGTTCTGTAGTTGCTGCAGCCAGATGCGTCGTACTCTGGCTGCCAATCCCTGGACTAATTTAGTTTGAGATTAGGTGGAACGAAACTGTGAAAATGTATTGCCCCGTCCAGGTTTTCTTTCCGAATATCCTGTGTTGTATTGAATCATGCTCTTGCCTGTGTAAAAGGAAATCTGGTAAGGTGACTTCGTTGTTCGTCCCAGTTTCCGCAGCAAACTTTAGTGCTGTGTGGTTCGTGTTAAACTTTTGAACTAGGCCATCGATATCGGTGGTCTTATTTGTCAGGCATAAGATATTACCCACGTATCGACCATAGAACCCAAAGTCATTGATAGTCTCTTTGAGGTTCGTTTCCTGGACCTTGCCTATTAAGACGTTTGCGAGGAATGGTTCAAGTGGTGAGCCCATCACCACTCCATCTATTTACCGGTATAACTAGCCATTGCAGAGAAACTGCACGTTATGTGTTCGACACGTCAGCAGTTCCTATAATGTCTCCACTGTCATCCTTTTCTGGTCACATAGGTACTTTATAGTTCCTACTACGGGTACGTTGATAAACAGTGAAGACGCATCTAACAACAGCATTTTCATTTTACAAACGTTAGTATTCTTGATAGCCTCGATGAAGTCAAATGTGTCCTTCAAGCTTCTGGGGGGTAAAAACAGCTCCAAAGCGGTTTTAACTTTTCGACAAGCCATTTTCAATGGCTTTTTCGCTAATTCTACTGCAGCAGCACGCATTCGAACCACCTGTCCTGTCCCTGCGGTCTGTATTGTACATAACAGACGTGAGGTTATAGAGCATCGTTTCGTGTCCCCTTTAATCTAGCTGAGTGGGGAGAGAAGGGGGTACTGTGGTAGTCTCTTCCCATGGCGGCTAACACGGCCGCTTATGCATGCCGACTCCAGTCCGTCCAGTAGATTGCGCGCAAGCAAAAGGCAACCACCAGGCACCGGGTCATGAGGCCGAAAGACCCACTGCTACGGCAGGAGACGGCTGGAGTCGCCTACCGGATCTGGTGCAGTTGTGGACAAAGCAATTACGTCGGAGAAACCGGGA